GAGAGTTGGACTAGAAGACTTCCAAGGTCCCTTCCAACTCCATTCTATTCTATTCTATTCTATTCTATATTCCATTATTCTATTCTATTCTATTCTTCTTCTATTCTATTCTATTCTATTATTCTATTCTATTCTTCATTCCATTATTCTCTTCTCTTCTATTCTATTCTTCATTCCATTTTTCTATTCTATTCTATTCTATTCTATTATATTCTATTCTTCATTCCATTATTCTCTTCTCTTCTCTTCTCTTCTCTTCTCTTCTCTTCTATTCTATTCTATTCTATTCTTCATTCCATTATTCTATTCTATTCTATTCTATTCTTCATTCCATTATTCTATTCTATTCTATTCTATTCTATTCTATTCTATTCTATTCTATTCTTCATTCCATTATTCTCTTCTCTTCTCTTCTCTTCTATTCTATTCTATTCTATTCTATTCTATTCTTCACTCCATTATTCTATTCTATTCTATTCTATTCTATTCTATTCTATTCTATTCTATTCTTCATTCCATTATTCTATTCTATTCTATTCTATTCTATTCTATTCTATTCTATTCTTCATTCCATTATTCTATTCTATTCTATTCTATTCTATTCTATTCTTCATTCCATTATTCTCTTCTCTTCTCTTCTATTCTATTCTATTCTTCATTCCATTATTCTCTTCTCTTCTCTTCTCTTCTATTCTATTCTATTCTATTCTATTCTATTCTTCATTCCATTATTCTATTCTATTCTATTCTATTCTATTCTATTCTATTCTATTCTATTCTATTCTTCATTCCATTATTCTATTCTATTCTATTCTATTCTATTCTATTCTATTCTATTCTATTCTTCACTCCATTATTCTATTCTATTCTATGCCATATGCCATTCCATCAAATCATAGGGTTGGAAGGGACCTTGGACGTCCTCTAGCCCAACCCCTCTGCTCAAGCAGGAGATCCTATACCGTACAGTGCAAGTGGCCAGTTTCTTCTTGAAAACCTGCAGTGATGGATACAACCTTGATGCAACCCAAAGGCTCTTCGCAACGTGCCCGGACTGGGCCTGCCCTTTCCCAAGGGAGGCTCTCCTCACCTGGACTAGACGGATCTCGGTCGGGCTCCAGGAAAAAAAAAAGTCCGTGCACGCAACTCCCCGGCAGAAGCGAAACATGGTTTATTCAAGCGGAGGGACAGCGCTTGCAGCACCAGAGAGAATTTCGTTGGCCCAACCCTGGTTGACGAAGCCAAGCTGGCTTCGGAGGGTGAGCAGAGAAACTGAAGTCCAGCCGCCCCAAGCTCGCTTCTTCATCCCAACATTTCCAGCCAAATTTTTGTTGCCATTTTAAGGAGAGCCACTTCACTCACCTTTTCCTGCAAGGACCAATAATTATCACTACCTTATTCTACCAATCGGATTTACCTTGAGGGTATCCCTGTTTTAAATAAACTGTCCTTCCGCTGTTTAGGATGCCTTGATGCCTTCCGGGGATTGAAATCTC